GTGATATTTTTTAGGAATATATATATTTGTTAGATATATATTAGATAGATAGATACATATATAAATTAACATTCTTTATATTTCCTATCGAAATTTATAAAGTTCAGTAAAGGAGATAATTAATTATATAGAGCGACAAGGATCGATCATTTTCGTAACGATACCAAGATTTATAAAGGGAATACCAGTAACTTTTGGTTACGTTACTGATGACGTCACGCCTGAAGGAAATCCTATAATTGCACCATATCCTAGTTGGGAATGGAATAAAGAGGGTGATTGCAACGTTATCACTAGCGTCTTTAGAGTGGCGGTAATTATTTGCTAATTGATTTTATAATGGTTTTAAACTCGCTCGAATTAATATATTCTCTTTTTTTTTGTTTTCTTTTCTTCTTCACAGATCGACAAATGCAACAGATTATGGATACTTGATACAGGGAAAGTCGGTAATCATCAGATTTGTCGGCCTCAATTGCACGTATTTTCCTTAATCAATAACAGATTGATCCATCAATACAAATTTCCACGTGATCAGTTCAAGGACACTTCCCTTTTTGTTACACCTGTCGTGGATATTCGTGATACCGATGATAAATGTCGTAACACATTCGTCTATGTAGCTGATGTGACTGGTTTTGGCTTGCTTGTTTATGACCATACTCATAATAGATCTTGGAGGATTGAGAATAAACTTTTCTTTCCTTATCCACCTTATGGAACTTTTAATATTAATGGTGACACCTTCGATCTTATGGATGGTATAATCGCTTTAGCTTTGGGTCCCATCAGATCAGACGGTGATAGAATCCTTTATTTTCATTCTTTGGCCAGCAAAGTTGAATCTTGGGTAGCCACGTCGACCATAAGGTAGATTAGATTATTCAAGTTGATCGTAAATCCTCAAAAATATTTATACTTTTGTATGAATTATAGAAATTACTCCATCTTCCTTCACGATTCCGAGGCAACACCGAGATCTTTCAAACCATTCCTATTAGAAAGACCATCGCAATCTGCAGCTGAAGCAATGAACAAAAATGGCGTTCTTTTCTTTGGTCTTTTGTCTGAAATATCGCTTGCTTGCTGGAATAGTAAAAACTATCCTGAATATAGTAGCAAGAACATCGAGAACCTTCTAGTAGATCAAGAAAATCTACAATTTCCTTCTGGTTTAAAGGTACGTGTGTGGGTGTTTGTTTTTTATTCGAAATATTTTTTTCATTCATGTAACGTGTATGAAATCAACATATTATATTCATTATTTATTGTGAAACAAAATGTAACGATATTTTCAGTTGAAATATTCTAAAGAAGATCGAGAAGAGATCTGGATATTGACCTCATCATTCCAAAGATTCATGACAGGAACTTTAAATCCAAATGAAACTAATTTCCGTATCCTGGCTGGATTTGTAAACGAATTAGTTCGTGGCACCAAATGTGATTCTGTTACACACGTACACGGACCAGTAACATTTCCAAAATGAAAATTATGGCACCGCGAGAATCATAGACTACATCATCAACAGTGGTCGTTCCATTATCCATGGTCTACTCATACAACGTTACCGGTTATTTCAAAAGTGATTTTTAACAATCAACCGGTGGGATACAGTTTTTTTTAAATCGTAGTTAAATTCGATTCGAATACCAACGAAAAAATTGCTTTTGTTTTTTCTTTTTTATGAATGAACTCGCGGTGCTGATTTGTTTTATATTTAATTTAATAAGACACGATCGTTGTTCAAAACATTTGTGTACGTTTTTATTTATTTTATGTATTATATTATATATATGTATGTGCATGTTTATGTATGTGTGTGTGTGTGTGTATATAGTAACCAAAGTGCCAAGAAATCTTATCAACATTGTTTAAAGCAATAATTGAAAATATAAAAATAATTATAATGAAATCTATTTCGTAAGATAATAATATATTACAAAATTGTAATTAAATAAAATGTTTTTATGTAAAAATGAAATTATAAATAAAGATAAGGAAAACATTACTATTAATATACTTGTATTTTTAATTCAATGCCAGGTAAGAATAGAAGATTGATTTGCATTCCATGATGCGGATTCATTCATTACTATGCTTTGAACTTTCGAATAAATTATGAGTAATCGGAAATAATATTTTATATACAATTCCTCTACTTTCTTTTGTCATATATATGGGAACGTACAACATTTTTTAATCCTTTTATAGTGAAAGCGTTTCTCAATTACGTTCCAATAATGTTAATGAAGAGTAAAAAGCTTTTAAACATACGTCTCATATATATATGCAAACTCATTCAGTATTCACATAAAGTACGATCGTTTTATTTTCTACTCTCATTAAAAAGAATGGTAATAATAATGATGATGATGATAATGATGATGATGATGATAGGCACAGACAAGATCACAAAAGATTACAAAAGGGAGTGTCGTTCTTGCGCAACTAACATTCGAACGTTAGGAATATACATTAACGAAATATTTTTATGCAAATCATTTCGTTATTATACTGATTGATCGATCAGCTGTCAAAAAAAAACGACCAAGTGAGCTATATAAGTTCTCAACTATATATTAAATGACTCAGTTCGATATTTTGAACGTGCCGATTAAATTTTGTACGTACAAGTAGTAAAGTATTAAAGAAATTCGATATTTTTTCATTCTAATTAACACCAGTAATTTTACTGATTGTTAGTGCATAATTTTGTATTTTTGAAGATAATTTATTTATTCTTTATATTTGTTTTAATAAAATGAAACCTACTTACTCGTTAATGTGAAATTATAATTTTTGCATAAGATAATGAAAAATCGAATGGATAGATCGTTAGATATCGGAAAATCATTTTTTTCGTATATTTATATACATAAATTAATAATTATAAATCATAAATGCATATCGAGTAAATAATCGGTGTTATATAAAAATAAAAAGAACAATAATCTCTTTAATAAAATAAATAATTAATGAAAATATAGCAGAAGATCGCTTAATACATTCATTTTCATTCCGCAGTAACTCTTAATTATAAAAATCTTTATTTATAACGATTAATGTAAAAGAAAAAGAGTAAAAGTATTTTATTTTGAAAGGCTACGAAGAACGATAGTGATCAAGAGGTATGTTTCCTGAATAAGTCAGCCTGAGATTTTACGATTATATTTAAGACGGCTGGTTGGTCAGACGATTGCCAATCGAGAGAAGTAGTCCTTTGCTATGAGTTGGAGACAAATCTTCGAGGAGTGCACACAAATGATGAAGTGATAAATAAAATAAAATAGTCAAAAATTTATGCAAAGTATTGTGTATGTGTTTCGTAGATATGAAATTAAGAGTGAATTAATAATTTATTATTATTAATAAAAGTTTTACAATAAATTATGTGACATTCACGTTTTTTATTTAAAAAAAGAAATAATAATAATGACAATAAATGTCTTTTTTATACATATAAAAAATTTAATTGTTTTAAAAAAATATTGAAAATGCTTTGATAACAGTGATTTAAAACAATTTAATAGATAATTAAAATCTTGATCGGTTGATTGATTGATATAATTATAGATCGTGACAATGTTTGAATAGTAAAAGAAAGAAAATTTTGTTCTCAATAAAAAATGTAATCCTGTGTCTTTCCTTGTTCTTTCCTATTCATGCTCTATTTGTGAGAAAGAAATAATCTACATCTGTGCCGTAACGATTTGAACAAAGCGGATCTATTTGAAATGATCTATTCTGTGATGTTAATCAGTGCTAGCATAATACAGCTACAGACAGTGTAGTCATTGATTGAAAGTGAGCTTTCAGAGGATTGGAACGGTCATTGAATTGTTTTAAATCGGAAAAGTGACTATCTTACTTAAAATCACGTCGTGTGTTTCGTTTCAATAGTAAAACGTATTGACGGACGATTGATCATTGATCTTTCGACAAATCAAGTACATTCGCATGAAATCAGAATTAAATCGATCAATTTAGTTTGATAATTGTACGAACTAACACGTTGATATTTAATAATAACAATTATAATTTAAAACAATTGTGAAAGTATTAAATTGGTATAAGTTAGATTGAGAAATCGATGAAAATTTTTTACTTTATGAAAAAAATCGTCATTCAGTAGATATATACAAATATTTCAGAGAAAATTATTATCTCCTTAGATGTTGGTATGAAGTAATATTTGTTCTTTTTTCTTTTTTTTTTTTTTGTTCTATGGATAGTAGATTGGTCATTGCATGTGACGTAAAGAATGTCGATTTTCTCAACCACAGGTGTTGAAAAAGATGAAAGAAAACTGGTTGTTTAATAGTTATGTTATAATTCTTAGAATATATCTATCTATTCGATTTTACAATGTTACATACATATTCAATTGTTTGAATGTCAACAATTTTAAACAATTTGACTAACTTTCAACGTAAATTAATTTCTTTTTCCTATTTTTTTTTTTGTTTCTTTTCTTTTTACACAGATACGCAACGATGAGAAGAAAGAAAAGAGTCGACTCTCGGCCAATGCAATCCAACAACTATTTTTATAGCTCTCCCAATTATTTCTTTGACTATAAGAAACCAATCACGTGGACTAATCATGTGGTACATTACCAGCAACACGAACTCGCAAATCGAAAGATCGAAGAACGCAACGAAAACCGTAAGTTTCATATTTTCAATTCATAAACATTATAATTTTCATAATATTGAAAAACATAATATTGAAAAGCACACAATCTGATTAGAATAATTAACGATTGACTTTAATTTGCTTATCTCGAGAATTTCAAATGAGATCTAATGAATTTCTTAAAAAGAAAAGTTGGATAAAACAAACGTTTTATTCTTTCGCAGTATATTTTAATCTTAAACTTAAGTTTCAATTTCTCACACCGAATTTGTTAGACTCGTAACGAAAGTTTAAACGGAAAGTAATAGACGTTTCTAGTCATTGAGAGAACTCTAGTGAAACATCACGGCGATCTTCTCTTTCTATTTTGCAATACCATAACGTGTTTACTCGTCTAAATCGTATAGCCGAAGTAAAATCATATTACTTTCACTAATAACAACTAAGAAATATGCATATTTTAAAAATTTTCGATATATATTATTTTTCCGTATATAAATAACGTTAATTAATATAATATATAATATAATTGATTAATGGTACATATAAAAATATATAATATTATGATTATATATAATATAATAAATTAATATATAATATAATGAATAAATCGTAAATTATATTAAAATAAAAAAATGTTCTGAATTATTAAATGGTTTTGAATTACGAAAAAAAAAAGAAAAAGGAAAAAAAAAGAATTCCAAGGCACGCACATAACTCATTTCTTTTGACCATAATAATAAACCTTAGTAGAGCAAGATAATTTTCGGTACAGAGAGTATGCGTGAACGTTTGCGATTATCGTTGGAGTGGTCATTAAATCTATGTAACAATGAGATGAAGCCTTCGTTAGTTTCTTTCAAAAACACAACCGAGATTTTCCCTTAAGTATGAGATGCTACGTATTACTAGTAAATTAATATGCGAGTTTCACCGAGGAGAATTTGAAGTTTATGGTAAAAACGATTCTTGGGAGATAGGCCCGCTGTCTCCTCGTAAAAAACTTAATAACTTTACTCATTCCTGTTGAAAACCGGAATGTTTTAAGGACAATTATGCAACACTATGATGCCTTGACTTTCTCTGAAATGTAATGATCTCTCTTCTTCTATATTTTTTTTTTTTTTGACATTTCACATATGTAAATTCGTAAAAAATCTTATTGCAAAAAAAATCAAAGAACGCGACTGAAAAAAAGTTAATAATGATTTTCTCCTTTAATTATGTAACAATAAGATTCTTTGCCTTTCTTTGAAATGCAACGTTTTTTGTTTTTCATATATGCAAATTCATAACAAATCTTATTGCAAAAAAAAGATCGAGGAACATGAAAAAAAAAACAACAACAACAATCTCGATCGAAGTTATTGCAAAAGAAAGATTATTGATATTTAAATCTCGATGTTTAATCGACGGAACTTGAAGAAAAACAAACAAATAAGAACTACTTGACATTTCTTTCTCTCGATATCTTCTACGTCAATGGTGACCTATACAGTAATGATCTGCACTACTATAATCCGGATCAGTTTGTTACAATGAAAGGGAAAGTTTCTGGCGTAAAAAATATACCGTGTCTCATCAACAATGGAACAGACATCTAAGCCGATGACACGTTCCAATCTTAACTAACAATAGTCATAAGATATGCACCTTGATTACGCTTCCGACTAAATTAGACTATTCTTTATTTATAATCTTGTCAAGTTTAGGAAGTAAGTAAATTAATAAGTTGATTAAGTTTTATTGGTATTAAGGATAAACTGGTATTAAGATGAACCTGTTATAAATATTGTACTATTAATGCCACGCGATATTTTCATTAAAACATTATATCATAACTTTATTTCAAATAGTAACAATTAGTATATAAAAAATACATATATATATATATATATATATATATATATATATATGTATATATAGATATCTATTTTATATTCATCAGAAAATTGTGATAAATTTATGGGAAATGAATTTGATAAAGATATAATGAATCTTCTTCGTTCAATTTTCTTACAAATTTTATTCTTTTATCTATTACTATAATACTATAATGGATGTGTGAGAAACGAAGACTTTGAAAGGAATTTCTATTAATCGAGAAGATGGTGCGACCTTTTCTCTTAAGAAGTATCACGAACTTCCAACTCCCTTGAATTCACATCACTGACCTATAAGATATCGTCCTTCTCCATGAAGACACGAACGAAGATGCTAAGAAAAATGAGGGAGAGCATCTTCAAAGAGAAGGGATTAGCCATTCTCTCTCCTTTCGTAGTATCGAGGTACATTTAGCCGGATAGTGAATATGGCAGTTAGGAATCATCCGTGCTCCCATCTCGAACGATACCGCGTGTAGTCCTTGATTTTCTCTCATCGCGAAAGTCTTCCTCAAGCTTGATCAAAAACGAATATCATTTTTGTCGTTGTACATTTTCTCCAAAGTTAATCGATTTCATTTTGACAACAGTATCGAAAGTCATCGAGTTCTTTTCAAAGTGTTCCTTTAAAATTAACATCGTTCACTTTCATTAATTAACTTTCTAATTGATCTGTGATATGATTCGTCATGTTGTTCTCATTATAATCGACTTATCCTGATCTTTGATTTATCGATATTATTATTATTTATTATACAATATTTGTTATTCGTCCTTAAGGTAAGTAAGCTACAAGCATTCAAAGCTTAAAGAATCAATCACTGTGATTTATAATATATGAGAAAAAAAGAATGTATAATACTTACATTCGTATACTTTTGATATGAACGAAATATCAATCTAACGTACAAATCATTTTGCATATAAATTTAATTTACTAGACGTATATTTCCTTTCAAAGACTCGTCTAAGAAATGAAAACGGAAGCGAGATTGCTTCGTTTGTGTTTTCACGACAAAGAGCAAACATACGAATTACAAAACATATCGTTGATCATGTTTTTCAACATTTACCTTATCGATGATCATTGAGTAATGTTAATAGTATTACATATATATATATGTATGTGTTTGTGTGTGTGTGTGTGTGTGTGTGTGTCTGTTCTCTCTACTCCCCCTCTGTGATTTTTTTATGATACATATCTCCATTAACGGAACACGAAAGGCGAAGTTCCGATCGATCCATTTTTCAACTAACTTGCGAAATTTTGCTCCGAGCGAGGAGACATTTCATGTAGTTACATAACTTTCATTATACTTCGAGCATATAAGTCGATTTTAACGATTTGGCAAGAGATCTCGAATTCGTTACGTGTTCGAAAAGAAAAAGAAAGAACAAAACAAAATGAACAATCAAGAAAATTAGGTCATGTAGTAATATACATTGATCATTTGATAACGATCAAAGTATTTCGATCGTGAACTTCATATCAATTTTTTCTTGAATTTCTTTTTACAGGTATGGCCAATGTGATGCCATGGCTTCTTTCGATGTCTCTTCTTGGTTTTCAACAATTCGCAGCTCATCCTGGCATTGCACCGATTTCACGAGAACTCGAAGCACCGATTTTTCCCCTTCATGACTCGGTACAAACCCAAATATTTCGCGTATCGATAGATGACAATAATCTTGAAATTATTAGAATAATATATAATCGTTCATTTCGTCTTATGCTGAATTATCTATATACTACACTTATCAGTCAGCAGGTAATCCGGTATCGCAAGAAAAATTATCAACTCCAAATTCGTGTGATTCTTATGGGAATTCGTTGGAAAATAAATTAACAGGGACAACTGAAAAAAACAATATTCTTTATGGTTCTATACCAATTACGGCAGGTCGATTTTTCCAATCAAATAATCATGATTACTCGAGAACCGTAGGCGATGTTCTTAAGAACAATGCCCATTCGATAAATCAACTTGAGTTTCATGAATTTAATTATGATCTCAATCACGAGCCAGTTGAAGACGAGTACGTCGGACCAGCGATGAGTTTGGTAAAGATTTGATTATCCCTTTCTAAAGAATTTTCGATCTTCTCTATCGATCTTGCTAATTTTAATTTAGGTTTACGCTTGGTCGACCGTAGACTTTGAGTTCGATAATATCGAAGAACGAGATCAAGCTATATTTGATGGTAATTACATAGCTGAAAATAATTTACCATTAGGATTAGAAGTATATCAAAACAGAGTCTTCGTCACTCTTCCAAAATGGAAGGAAGGAATACCAGTAACATTGGCAACTGTTCCAAGATATTCCAAAACAAAGAGTCCAAAATTGAAGCCATATCCTGATTGGGATTGGAATATGTCTGGTTAGTTTGAATCTGAACAAATCATATCTATTGAAATTATTTTCTAATACTTTTTTATACTTTCAGATAAATGCGATGGTCTTACGTCAGTGTTTAGGATACAAGTAGACGAATGTGATCGTCTTTGGGTTTTGGATTCTGGAGTGACAAATATCGCGAAAAAACCAACGCAAAGTTGCCCACCGGTACTCTACATTTTCGATCTTCAAACTGATAAATTGATCAAGAAATATACATTACCACAGGAACAAGTAAAACAGGATTCTTTGTTCACGAATATAGTGGTTGATGTAAGAGATGGAGATTGTGGTGGCGCAATAGCATATCTTTCAGATGTCTGGAGATTCGGTATAATCGTTTATGACTTCTACAAGGATTCATCCTTCAGATTCGAACATCATTTCTTCTTTCCCGATCCTTTGGCTGCGAAATACGAACTCCATGGTATAAAATTCCAATGGACTGACGGAATCTTCGGCATTGCATTAAGTCCTATCGATATTCACAACGACAGGACCCTGTTCTTTCATCCCATGTCGAGTTTCAGAGAATTCGCAGTCTCCACGTCTGTCCTTCGAGACAAGAGAATGGTCGATCATAATACCGATAAATTTATACCGATTGGAAGACCAAGAGCCAAGGATTATGGTCATTCGTCTGGTTCCGTCGTCGACAGAAACGGTGTAATGTTCTTCAACATGGTTACTCGTGACTCAGTATGGTGTTGGGATACGAGAAAGGAATATATACCTGAGAATTTAGGTGTAATAGGTACCAGTAATATCTCATTAGTCTTTCCTAATGACATTAAAGTCGATCATGAGGAAGAGCAGAACGTTTGGATGATCTCCAATAGGTTACCGATGTATCTCTATGAAAATTTAGATAGCAGCAAGATCAATTTTAGAATCTTCAAGGCACATGTTAAGGATGCTGTTAAAGACACTATTTGTGATCCTGATCACGTGGTACCTGATTATGGTCAGGGTTATGATGAAACTTGTTGAATGTTGTAAGAAATTCACTTGAAATTTTGAATAGTTAAAATAAAACGATCGAACAAATTTAGCTTATGTACAATAATTATTAAGATGATGAAAATATTTTATTAACAAAGGGATAGTAAAAAAAAATATTTAATGTCTATAGATTAATCTCGTAATATTAATTATCAAATAATAAAAGAAAGAAAGTTGTAATAATTATTTATAAAAGCGATTCAATCAATCATTATTTTTTTATGAATATATAAAAATGTATATTTTTTATTAACCCAATTAAAATCCTCAAATTTGTATCCTTTGACAAATTATCAAGAAAAGTCTTCCATGAAACTATCTCCTTCAAAAGATATTACGTTTTCAGATTCAATAGTAGTTTTAGTATACATCGTATCAAAACTATCTCTTATACTGGAAATTTGCAAATTTGTACTTTTTATCGAAGCTTGATCATCCTCTTCAACTTCATCGATGAAGTCAATCACACCGTTTCTTTCTTGGTTTTCAGGTTCAACGGTGAACTCTGATATATTTACTGAATTTGAGGAAACAACCATATCATATTTTTCAGGTAAAAAATCGTCAGAAAAATTCTTCTTGAACGTATCCGAATTCATTTCGTACGGTCTATAAGCATATATAGAATTATGCAAATCCGACATAAAGAAATATGATCCTAGAATTTCCATGTAAATAGCTAAGAGAAAACTGAAGAAAGCTATTATCATTTTCAAGGAAGGTTGATCGGAATCTTTGATCGTTTCATAACCAAGAGAATCTATTTCCGGATCAATGATATTCATTGTCCTTGTTTCACTGAGTGCAATAGTAACTTCACTGTCGTATTGAACAACTTCGTTTGTAGGAAGATTATCGATTGAAGTCGATCTTGAATCTAAAGACAAATCCTCGTCTTCCATTACCAAGATACAAAGATCAAAATTCCTATCAGTTTCCATAGAACTTTGTAGAATATCTTCGAGATCATTAATCTCGTCTTCGATATCTTGAACGTTTGGAACCGTCAATGTGTCTCCAACGTAAATATCCATATCATTATTAGAATCAAGAATGAATTCATCGACGGTCGATGGCAAACGATAAATATTATAAAAATTTTCGAAGAATGACGTGGATCGTTCATCATTGATAGATCGAGAATCACGTGGAAAAGTTCTAATGATAATCTCAGGTTTATGAGAGAATGCAGCATGGACCAAACTGGCTGTGACGTCATCGACGATATCTCTCTGCTGATTACCATAAAGATCGGACGATTCGAAATTCATTCCTTGTAAATTTTTATTAGTTAATAAAATACCATGAGGACGTAAACTCCAATGGATGTTTCTTGCGATATCCATCATGTGTAGAGACATGTTTCTGCGTCTAACTTGATGATGATTTCGATCATCGATCGTTTCGATTACATTTTCAATTTTTGTAGTAGATGAAAGTGAAATGGAATTTGTTAAGGAAAAAAATGAATTATCTTTTTCAACATTTAACATGTCGATCTTAAACTTTTCGATTTCTTCAATTTCGGATTCTTTTGTTGTATCAATCATTTGTATTTTTTCTTCTTCTTCTTTTTCATTTACTTTTTTATTTTCTGTACATTCAATGAAATCTTTTAAATCAGACGAATTAATAGGCATATCTCTTTTAGAAATAATGGATTCCGTCGAATTAAAAGTCTTAAAATTTTGATTTGAACCGAAATCCAAATTGGTTCGTAAATATTGATAAGACGAAGATAGTCCAAAGGGAACACTTATGTCTTCCCTATCAGTATTTCTATCAAGTTCAAGGCTATCAGTTATCTTTTGACTGTTTCTTAAAGAAAGATCCAATTTCATTGCATCTTGATTAGATTTGCTATGTTTCATATACACTTGATTATCCCTTATTGCCAGAATTTTTCTCAACTCTTGCCTAAACCAATGACTACCATGACGATCTAAAAGATTCAACATAATTGCAGCATCTTTACTTTGTATATTAGGTAATCGAGAAAACGATAATTCGTTTCCAAGAAAATTAAGATTTTCCTTCTCCTTTATTAACTCTTTGTTATTAATATTACTAACATATTCGAAGAAAGAATCAGTTGTGTTATGTATTTCAATTTCGTTATATGAATCAAAATGATCTTGATGTGTATTAAATTCATATGAATCAGCCTCGTTTCTTTTTTGTATTTGTCTGTAATTGTTTTTCACTTTAGAATAAGACATTACTTGGGTCGACCAAGTTTCAGTATTATCTCTAAAGGAATATAGCATATCAGTTTTCTGTTGTTTCTTCTTTTCCATCTCTCGTTTGTCCTCCATCAAAGTGATCTCATTGTAAGCTCTCAAAGCTTTCATTTCTAAAAGTTCTCTTTCTTTAGAAGATGTCATACGTTTTCTTCTTTTCCTCATTGATATCATATTATGTCTCGATTGATTAAAGTATTCGGTATGTTTATAACTATCAAACGAATTGACCATCTTATTTTTAATATTGTTTAATCTATGAAGTGATTCCTTTTGAATTTCCTTAGAACATGCAGGTGATTTTTCTAAAAAATTCGAATTGTCGTATTCTAAAGTATCAGCTATCTGTGTCATGGCCAAAATATTCCAATTTTTACAATAACATGGTCCAATTTCTAAATTATCTTCGTAGCATTCATCATCATTTTTAATTACATTTTTTGTATTTAACTGATTTAAATTGGTATTGGTCGCAAACTTTGGACATACGTTGTCCATGTAATCGACATGTATATTATGATCATTATTTTTATTATTTCCTTTATTATCGTATATGTAATTGTTCAGACTTTCTGTGGTTTGAGTACTAATAATATTGTAACTACTATCAGTATTATTATTTACATTTAAATTACTCCAAACACTTTCATAAACGTTAAATGAATTATTACTTTTGTATTCTTCTTTTGGTTCGACACTTGTGTATCTAAAATGATAACACTTCAATAAGATATTGTTACTTAAATATAAACGTTAGAAAAAGTACCTATTTTTTGTAATTAATTCTTGATTGACCATATCAAAATTCTGCAATTTGCCTCCAATAAACTCTGTCCTATTAGAAATTTTAGAATTATTTACAGATTCGTATTCCATACCAGTGTAACACGCAATTTGTTTTGGTATTTTAAACAATAATTCTGTGTTCTTGTTATTCCATATCATCATTCTTCCTCGATCAAATAAATTCTTCGAATTCGAAGCTTTAAATAATGTTTTTTTATATATATCGTTCGTATTTTTAACAAATTTTTCGTTAAATTGTAATTGAGGATCAAAAAATTCATCGATTAGCAATTCTTTACCATAGAGATTAGTGATGTTGAATTTTTGATAGAACGGTAAACAGCCTATTGTAGAGAAGATACTAGTGCTAGGAAGAATGTAAGATCGATTGTTGAAAATATAATTGTAATTTCTTGGCATTTCTAAATGAACTGTTTTCGATGTATCTACTACAGGATTTATTATTTCTAAATTAGGTTCCTCTGTAAAAATAATCATCATATAAAATAATCATATATATATATATATGAAAGATTATTTTTACAGATATATATAATATATATATAAGATTATTTCATATATATATATATATATATATATATATATATAAATATATAATAATTGAATATATTTATATATATATTTAATTATTCTATTTTTATCATTCACGATACACGTAAAATATTCTTACTTAAGAAAGAATTATTTTCCAATTTTGTATGAATGAAATCTTTTGCATTAATCATTTGACTTCGTAAAAAAGTATTACAATTAATCTTTGTATCTTCTTCTTGGTCAATATTAGTAATGGTTGTATCATTTTTGGATAATTTTCTAATGTCTGTGTCATCCAAGGAAGTAATATTCTCCTCTGGAATTTTATTATCATTTATTAGAACATCAATTTCATGATTAGATGTACAATAAACTTCACTTAAACATTTATTTTTTTTATTTAAAAGGCAAGGATAAATAGATTTAGAAAGAATAGTTTGTTCCTTGAAAGGACATTCCATTAATTGTCTATCCCCTACGAGAGGAAAACATGGTCTAGACTCTACTTTCTCTCTCGTTAATGGACATGATTTTTTCTTTTCTTTCTTCTTAATAAATTCTAAGTTTGTTTCTTCTTTTTCATCGATACAATCTAGTACAAAAGCTGTTATGGATTCCTTAGCTTGTGTCAATTCCATTACTTCTTCATGGATCAATTCTCTTTTTGCTTCAACTGAAACATCTTCGGTCTTATCATTAATCTTTTGGACTTCTCTAAACTTCTCAACACGATTATCATTTATATAAAATATAGGCATATCAGTTTTCGCCATCAAATAATCAATGATAGATGGATCTCTTATCCTGCGATCTTTTATCAGATCAATTTTTCCTATCTCCTTTTTCTTTGCATATTCTTCTTGTATCTTATAAATTATAGCACTCTCTAACATCCTTTTGCGGACTCTAGCACGTGCATTGATTATATCAACATCAGTTAATCCCAAAAGCTTCATACATTTCTCAATAGGTATCAAATTATTATTACGAATTATCTGAGAAATGACTTCTTCTGTGTCATCGGATTCAAAACTGCTAATAGTCGTTAACGTTGTCAACGATCTAGATATTTTACTTTCGTTGGAATCGTTGAAAATTGAACTATAAAATGCGTCGTTCAGATTAGGTAAACTCATACAACGTCTTCCCGAGAACAAATCGAATGTTGATTCCTTGCTAATCATTTCCGTACTACTGCCATCCGAGAAGATATTATATGCGATAGAATATTTTGCTTGTAAAGCTTTCCTTATCTTTCTAATCCTTTCTATTTTTTTCAACTCTATATAAGAACATGCAATTGCATACCATATGTAAGCAGAATTGGCTGTAAATGTTATTATTATTTGTTTAAGTAGATAAATTTTGTAAAAAATTAAGTTTGTAAACAATTTAAGTATTGATCTATATCATGTATCAAGCTTACTTAATGAAATAAGTTCAACGACAACAAATTCGATCATTCGAAACGAAGAAAATCTTTCTTTACCCCATAG